TTTTTACTGTTAAGCGCATTGAGGCTTTAGCATAATGCGCTATATAAGCCAAAATTATTATTATTATTATTATTATTATTATTATTATTATTATTATTATTATTATTATTCTGTGAGTGCATTTTCCGGTAATCTAGTGGTGCCATAATTACAAATTTTACTCAGCCCCAACCATAGTGGGGCTGAGGTGGTAAAGTCCTCTATCTGTGAACGTGCCTCCACGGGCGCCCTCTATTTTCAATCTGCCACTGTATATTTACCAATGTAGATCTACCCATAAAGATGACATTTGCTTTTACAAACCTTGACAAAATAGTTAGTATTTGGCATGATACCTTCAGATATTGAGAGTGAAGTTTCAATGACATTCACGGTGAAATTGGTCAAATCACTGTATACAGACACATTGTATTCCAGTATTTGACACGGATTAACTTTATTGGCTTTCCACTCCAGTGTGATAGATGAAGACGTTGATGATAAAGAAGTAATGCTTGGCTTACCGGGATCTGCGGGGTATTAATAAAGAATCACAGAGAATATTATTGCCAGGACACAAATTTAAACATGTATAATTTTACACAGTTTATTTTAGCATTGAGCAATATTATTGCAATATTAGCAATAAAATAATAACAAAATAATACTAAAAATATTAATATTTACAAAATACCAATAAAAATAAAAGTAACAATGCGAATACATAAATGTAACAATATTCTTCACATTCGTGTATGATTTCTTTTAGCATAGAAATAGTAACTGAACTCTTACAATCCAATGCAGACGTGACTTCCATAATATCTGCTGTTCCGTTGATGTTCATGTGCGCAGCTAACACTGCAAACGTATACTCTGTACATGGTACAACTCCTTCATTGATAAAAACCTCAGTTTCTATAGTGCTTCCTTGGCGGTCTATTCCTAATAGTTGATAATGGTAAATCACCTGTAGGTCCTGGGTAATACAGGTAGATTCATTCCATTTCATCAATAAAGACGTTTCCCCGACTACTGAATCTTCTTTAATTAATGGGACTATTGAAAAGCAGAAGATAAAAACAGAGTTAGTTTAATATTGTTAAGCCTATTATTATTATTATTATTATTATTATTATTATTATTATTATTATTATTATTATTATTATTATTATTATTATTATTATTATTATTATACAATGCATACCAAGGGATGATCCAATACTTAAAAGAAGGTAGTTTAAAATTTTTCAAAAAAAAAAATATACCAGAATAAAAGGGGGCTCCAGGGTCCTCACCCGGGAAAATTTAATTCTTAGATGACGGTAAATAAGCTTCCCCGACTTCTGAGGAGTCTTTTAATGACCTTTAAGTTCTTCAAAAATCAAGGTTTTCCCCTCAAAGACAGGCAATATATTATTATATTCCAACAATATTGAGTAGTTAGATATGTAGTCTTTCTTCCATTGATCGATGAACCGCTAGACTTGAATAAAGCACTTTCGTACATAAATTAAAAATACGCCAATCAACCAAAAAAGTGTATAATTTATGAAATTGAAAACTATTTGGGCTAAGCCTAGTTTGTCTCATCTTTTTTCATTTCATTTCATTTGTTCGTCTGAAAAATACAAATTCATTATAAAATATCATACACAAAAAAGACGGAGAGATGAGAGACAGGAAAGAGAACTGAATCAACTGTCAAGTGGATCACCTAACTAAAAGACAGACAACAGACACAAAAAATATAAATATATATGAATATAAATATAAAAATTAGCAATTAATATAATTTTTCAAGGCTTCATAAAAATATTTAAAATTTAAAATAAGTTTATCACGCACATTAGTCGGTAAATCATTGCAAAGATGGGGAAAATAATTACAGACAGAATTTTGAAACAATCAGTCCTGAAAGTTATGAATACATTTTAAATCACCTAATTTATAACGTCTCAGATTAATTTTAATAATGTTGAAAATTGGAACTTATATTTACCATAAAATTTATGGTAAATAGAAGTTTCCATTTAATGCATTTAATGCACTTCGTGACAAATGAAATAGAAGAAACTTTAAACGATCCTCAACAGAACATAAACCAAGGATACCAAGTCTTCCAAACTATGCCTAGGAGGTTAGCATGCCTTTTGTAAGCCAGGACACAGTTACTTTTCTTCACAGAGGGGGGGGGGGTTCGTCCGAACAACTTGAACCCCCTGAATCCGCCACTACATACATACTAACATATACACACAACGTTAACCTTAATTATTGTGATGTTCCATTCGGAAAGAAGCAATAAACATAATACTGCATCCTAATAACATGAACCGAGACCAAGGTGAATACGAGCTACCACACATTTACGAACCAACATCACAATGCCCACGATTTTCATAGTGACTTATGACTAAGCCTCGCTGCAAACAGGCGAAAAATATATCCGTATGTTTACATCATTTTTATTTATACTTGGTTTTTGGATCATAAAAGGACCCACGGGAGTCAATTGGTGGGAAACAGGGGGACACGTCAAAGTAGGGGGACATCATAGTAATTGTCCCCCCCCCCCACAACGTTCAACAATCTTCTATAATTAAAACCCTACTTATCAAAGCGAGTGGAAAGAACAACAATTTAGTCACGCCAAAAAAATAAAAATAGTGGGAGACAAAAATTGAGAAGATTTAAAAGGAGTATAGAGGAAAACGGGAAGTGTATCCATGAACTCAATTGCGGTCACAGCAGTGGGCTAAAGAAGAGCTCGATTACTTCACCACTTACTGGCTTTTGATTTTCTATTGATTGGCGGCGAACACAACGGTCCGCTATATCCCCTCCCCCCTGCCAATTGTGTTTGTCTACTGCCCCCAACAGTGGCGTTGACACTACTGTATGTCATGATGTAGCAATTAAAAATGTCGGAAAAAGGTGAAACGGGTTTGCGATTTTTTTTCCCGTACGAAGCATTTGCATGAAACTCCACTCGGGTTGTCTCGACTGACTCGGTTCGAAAATCTCAATTCTGGAGGTCAAAAGGTCATCAACATAAGATAAACGTTCAAAAAAATTCTGAGATACAGGATAGCTGCTCGCTGTCTGATTTTGAAAAAAAAACACATTGGTGTTACCATGCTAATATAATGGGTCGTTTAAAGCGACATATGTAATATTTGATTTCGCTGCACGAATAAGAAAAAGTGTTAGGCCCTATCTGAATTTTACTTACATACTGTGAACACTTTTATTTTTTAGTTGGCCTAGGTTTTGGATAATTATTCGCGGTTTTGGATAATTATTTAAGTACATATGTCATGACGAATTTGAGTTAACCCAATCAAGTCGGGCCCAGTCAAGTCGGCCCCAAGTAAACTCGGCCCCAAGTCAACTCGGCCCCATGTCAACTCGGTCCCAATTTAATGTGTACGGTATTTACTGAATATTTACAAAGAGATTTGAATGCAAAGCCAAAATTTTAAATCGTTGCCTTTGTTATTTCTTTTCATTTACATGCACTTACAATAATTAAAACTGCATTAAGAAAAATAATATTAAAATGATATTAATAAAAATTATACAAAGGTATATAGAATAACTAATAACAATAACGATATAATTGGGGCCAAGTGTACTTGGGGTTTGTTGACATGGGGCCGATTTGATTTGGGGCCGAGTTGACATGGGGCCGTGTTGACTTGGCGCCGAGATGACGGGGCCGAGTTAACCTGCTTCCGCCTAGAATTACCGTACTAAAAAATAAGGCAGGGAATTTGGATTATAGGCCTCATAGTATACTGTAGGTGCTTCTTGATTACAAGGCTTAGGCTAAGTTAATTAATGGCGAAATTATATATGGTTAAATAATAATTATTATTATTTTATTATTATTGTTATTAATATTATTATTATTATTATTATTATTATTATTATTATTATTATTATTTAATACTAATTAAATTACAAGACTTAGGCCAAGTTCATTAATGCCGGAGTGACATTATATAATATATGATATTTTATTTAATATTCACTGTCCCATTTTAATTTTATGTTTTAAATTTGTTTCAAAATTTCAGTCAATGACATGCTAAGCGTGACTGTTGTGTCAGGCCTAGGGGCCTAGTCGTGGGGGGGGGGGCTAGCAGGTAGGATCTAGCTCAGCTTGTAACTAGGTCCACTAGTTTAGCCTCTTTTGCTCTAGCCTTTGATAGGAATGTACCTATTTACCACTGGTACTACTATAGAAAGAGGTACTAGCTGTTGTTGTTGTAGTACATTTGATAACAAACATTCAAGAAGCTCACAGTTAGTTACAGACGTAGCCTACATCCCATAAATCGGTAAGATTTCATAGGCCTACCGTAGGTAAACATATGTAAAGAACAGTACAGTAAAGGAATATAATACTCGAGCGTCACGACATTGCGAAGTGCCTGCTCTTGTTCGTATCAAACTCGAGTCGAATCAATCCGAGACGACCCGAGTGAAGTTTCATGCAAATGTTGCGTACGGAAAAAATAACCGCAACCGGCTTAGGCATGATTAGTACTACTACCACGAGATAGAGGGCGCTCTATTGACAATTGATAGCGCTTGAATTGCGTTCGAAACTCGAACACGCGTTATAGAGACGTAGCACCGTTCGCCACGAACGCCTTTTACCGTCATTTGAAGGACGCCCTCTAGAACATGGTAGTACTTTTCGTAATCAACGACATAACTCGAAGTTACTCATTTTCAAAGTGGTTTTAGTGTAACATAGGCCTATACAGAATATTTTTATGAAAGAATTTTTTCATTAAAAAATGCAGATACCTACAATAATACACACATCAGCATATTGATGAACATAACATAAAATAAAAAAAACAAAACAAAAAAAAAACAACTTCTATATAAGGCAGTAGACACACCCTCCCACTAGGAGCCTATTTATTCAACGATTTCAAACCAGAATGTAAAATAGGCCAAAAAACGGAGATCTAAAACAGGCTTTTTTAGCCGCAATAAAGGAATGTTGTACCGGTACCGAGCTACAACAGCTATCTATGGATGCTCAGTGGCGTCACGCGTATGTGCT